CACCGAATGACCAAGGGGAGTTAGGTCAAACTCCATTCACGGCAGCAATACAGTCCTAACATACTGCATACTACAAACCACATCTCGACCAATCCCCGCACCACTCCTCCTGGAGTCTACCAGAGCTAAAGCAGTCGAGTGTCGGGACTTACTACGCAGAAGCTCACCGAAGATCTGGAACCTCTACCTCACAATCAAGAAGCGAGCTCAAAGAAATCACTGGTTTATACTAGCTCGTCATCAGGATATTGGATATTGGATACCTAAACGCAGAGATATGAAAACCAGACAAAAAGTCACAAAAGTGAACAATGCTTCAACTAATTAAACCAATTAAAGTAAACTAAAAAGCTCCTGATGCGACTCACACAACAAAAACACAAGTTACTTCACGACTGAAAAATACCACTCTTGTTTTCGCAGCGTGCGTGTTAATGAATGGGTGTGCAATAGCACGTTGCGGTAAGATGTGAAAAGCAGAACACAGACTCGAGTCGTAACACTTTGTAATTTCCAACCGTCCCAATAGAAGAAGTCAAAGTTATGTACAACAAAAGAACTAGGCTATAACTGTTCAGCGACCGCTGGAGTTGAACTGACGCCTTCCCTTGAATTCGACCTACTACATGTATACACCTATTATCGTCTTGTACTCCTTCACATTCTCTTTTGTCTTACTCTCCTATAACTCCAACAATCACGTCCCTTACATTATTATTGTTGAAATATACATACATAAATATGTGTACTAAACGTATTTATCAATTTCAAATATCATTAGCTGTATGTTTTTACGTTCTCTTCCTATCTTTTTCTTTTTAAGACTATAGAATCCATTCCAGTTATGACTGTTATTAATACTGTTATCTTTTTTTCAACCACAACGGACGACTAGTGGATGAAAGGATCAATTGCATCCAGAGTAGTAAAACGGTCTTAACAGACTGCATACTATAAATTACATATTATTAATCTCAGCACCATTACCCTTGGTGTCATCCGAAGCCAGGACAGTCAAGTGGTAGGAAGAACTACACAAAAGTTCACCGAAGACCAGGAACCTTTACCTCACAACCAAGAAGTGAGTACAAAGAAATCGAATTGATCAACAGTAGCTCGTAAAAAAGATACTGGATATTTGATATTGGAACCTCCCATTGTCTTTATACCCTAACAAAGTTATGATGGTCGAGTGGTAGAACCAACCATGTGGAAATACACTGAAGGGCACAAGTCATTCCTTGAAAACCAAAATAATAGAAGTAAAAAGCACTTTGGTTTGTTCCAACTCGCATATAGTACATTGATTGTATTGAATCTTAGTGGTAGTTTCGAGTCCTCTAGGTCAGTCTACCGTACACGAACTTCACATGGTATCTTCTTTTCATTTATTTGTTTTTGTAGTTTTGATAGTTGCATGTTATTTTATGTTGTATTCTTTCGTGATAATTCACTAAAATTGTGGTTGAATCTGAGATGACACTGTTGATTTTCACTGTTTAAAAGTTTTTTGGAAAGAAGAAAGTGCAGAAACCCGAGCCGAAAGTCCAAAATTTGACTTCTTCATAACGAAAGTGACTTTTAATTGACTAAATGCGATATGCGCTTGCAATAAAAGCACAGCTTCCTTGAGCGATTTTTTATAGGTGTCGCTTGCAAATTCAAATTATAGAATGCCCAAAGGTCAGTGATTATGAATTAAGTAGTCCGGCCGAAAATCTATCGTGATAACGTAGAGTTATCCAGTCTACATCATGATATAGTTTTCCTTAGCAAATATCTCAATTCGCTTCGTTTCTGTTTGGCCCAACATTCAGATATATTGTTTGAGGATAGAAGGCTTGGAGCCTATGTTAATCCTTTTCTAGTAAATTTCTGTGGTTGTCCAAACCCTTTTTGAACGAGTCAGTTGAAGTTGCATACATCACTTCTTCTGGGAGTTTATAACTCGGTGTGGGAACCAGTACTCAACAACAATATTTCTTGGCTTTTGAACCCTCCTGCAAAGTCGTCTAAGGTGTTCCGACCTGGTGGGAAGGAAAAGAGAAAATAGGCCAAGTCCTTAGTCATTATTTAAAGTTTTAAACAGCATGGTATTATTTCTTTTCACTTCTTCATGTCATTTTCTAAGGCTGCAATGTGTATTTGTTGGGATGACGACTGTAATCCATACTGATTTTCGGTCTGATAATATCCAGCCGCTGAGGCTGAAGCATGTTCAAGGTGATTCAAACACACTGACCTCTAGTGTTAAAGCTAATAAGCTTTATTAGAAACCCAATCGGACAACAGTGCGGACAAGAAACAGAAAGATTTTATGGTCATGCGAGTTGATACACGCTTCTTAGCTGTAGGTGCGAAAGTTGGTGAAACAGGTTGATCAGAAGCAAAAATAGACATCAGCACAGGGTCTATAGGTTAAAATTACAACCCTTCATGATTTCTAATAAAAGAAGTACTCAAATTAACACAATCAATCATAGATGTGAATCCACATCACTGTGACTACTTAGCCATATTATTTAAAGTCTCTGATCTTGGGTTCGTGTGGTAACATCGGCACTACGCAGATAAACTACATTATCGCATGGCTCATACCAGCAGTTAGCGACTTCGTGGATTAATGCTGTCTGACACAGGATAGTACATACATCATTATATGCAAAGTATTCAGCTGGAGTTCTACTGAGAATTGATGGATTCATTAAATTCTGTTTTATAACCATTTGTTGCTTGTTTTACTATCTTAGATTATTTCGTTGGCTGCAGTGAAATGCGCCCACTCATCTTGCACCTCATTATGCTTGCAATACAGTTATGGGAGAAATTTGAGGGTTGTTACACTAGATTATGAAATCAACCTATGGAATTAGTCTGTTTCATCTGTTAACTTATTGGTCTTCTAGATGATGTTTAATAAAGTGGCAAATTCTTATCATAAGCTGTAATATGGTTGTTGAGACGGTTCGGTAGGATACTAGTTGCAGCAAATAAATTTTAGTAAGTGTACATATGTTAAGTGTTTTCCTGTCTAGGATTCAATTATAGAGAGAAACCCAAAAGACACAACAGCCAATGTGTCTTTTGTTTCAAATCAAGTGGGGCTAAACAAGATTAGCATTCCGTCTTAGACTCCTATCATACTCTGTTCCGTGCACGTATGTGCCTACTACTAAAAATACATAGCTCTGAATCGCATACACCCTCCTAAATTGGTGAGAACACGAAGCCTTTATTTAGGAAAGAAATAGCTATTCGTGATTGACAGCAAGATATTCCGATTAAGCGTGGCATAATATCCAGTTAGTTATAGAAACATTGGTGAGGGCTGCTGATATCCTATAAGCAAAGATTAGTAAATGTCAGTGAATTTTTTCTGCTTCGTTTGAACTGACAAAGCTCAATCATCTCACCCTTTTGAGCAGAAATTTCCCTGTATACGGTATACGATCTGTCCTTTTCAAATGTAAGACGGCACCTCAGAATTTGTCCGCACCGACTCCTAGTTTATAAACAGGGAGTAAAAAAGCTGTGTGTTGACCACTACATTCATTTAAGAAATTGCATCAACCCTAACGGACTGATTACTGACGAAAACGCAGCACAGTCACAAAAGGCTGGCGTGGCATTTGCCAACCTACGTCGTGCATGGAGTAGATGTGATATCCGGTTATCTACCAAAGGATGTGTGTACTGTGCATATTTACTGCTATTAGGTATGTTAAAAGAAGATATGAAAAGACTAGCTGTGTTTTGACCATATGTGTTTCTTTCTATCTACAATGTTAAGTGGAATGAGGTAGTAATTATTATTGAGGTTAGGAGTGGTGTTAGGTAGGAGAGAAAGTAAATCGATGAGGTTGATAATGTGCATCGGTTGCACTTTTGGAGCCACCGTCTTCCTCGTGAAACAATGTTGCTTGACATTCACTTTTTGTAATCTTGCAGACCCATTAAGTCCTCATGTTTTCATCCCATGGCACTGTTCCTTCTGCTATACATTTCCGCTCATTATACCTCGTTTGAATTCCCGTTTTCTCTCTTCCTGTGCTAAGTGGAGTGTGGTAACTTGAATTATTTTACCTTTGTGCAAAGAGCTATTTTAAAACTCAGTCAGTTAGTCAACCATCTTAGGTAGTTTAAAAAGAGCTGTGAAGAAAGCACGTCTTAGCTGTGTGATGCTTGGGCATACTGATGATATTATTATTGTTTGAGGTGCAGACTGTGCAATCCACTTCTAGCCATTTACATATTATTATACGTAAGTATCGTGTACGACCTAATACATTGAAAGGTTAATTACGTTTTAGAGATTGAAAGAAGTTTGTGCTTGTATTCTGTCATGTGAATGATCCACTGGGAAAAGCTGGAAAGTTTTGTGCATTTGGTGATTAGTCTAAGAAGGAGTATGAGGGTTGATAGTCTACTGTTGGGTGAAATCTAGAGTCCACTTTCACATCCATGTGACTATAAAATATTAGGGATGCAACCTTTCAAGCATTTTTACTTGTTTTTCTTTTCTTTTGCACCCTCTCTCGTTGTTATAATTATCACTTTTTCACTGTAATTAATTTCTTGGTGCTCATATTTCGAGGTTTTACCAATAAAATGTATTTCCAGTCAAATCTATACAATGAGCTGCCAGAATAATTAGAGTAAAGAAGGAAGTACGGTTTTTAAACAAGTTATGCAATCACTAACGACAGACTACTTGCATCCACTAGTCCACTAACTGTAACTTCGCTAAATGTAAGGACTTAGTCCTGCCCACAGTTTAAAGAAATTCATTATGGATTATTCCAGCTGGGTTTCAACTCAATGTCCATATTTTGAATTGAATTTCTATTCTTGCTTGAATCATATATTACAAATTTTAAAAAATTATTTTTATTCTTCATTTCCAGCTTCCATTTCTATGATTGGTTGGGACCATTCAAATAAAAAAAACCAAATCTTTATTAAATAAGTTAACAAGTTAATTAGTGCATATATTTTGAACGATGGCCAAAGATTTATTCGCAGTATTGCGGCAGGTAAAAAAGCTTCTTACACCTCAACCTAGATATATTTCTATGCGTAGAATAATGAACTGCCTAATCTTCCACCTGAAACAGAAGAACCCGTTATAGTAGAAAGTAGTTCTCAGATAGACACTTTCTTCACTGAAGTATGTTACTTATTTTTGGTTTTGCAACCATTAAATAACAATTCTGTCTTTAGATCGAGTGGATTCGAAGAGAAATTGAAAAGATTCGGATAGAAATCGGTCAGGTTAAAACAAAACACGGTGAAATTCTATCAGCACTTCAGCAAAATCCAAGTAATTATAATTTTTTAATATTATTAGTAGTGTGCATAAGTGAAGCATTTCAGTACTACTATTTTTTTTGTATCGTTAAAGGAAAGATGATATTTCACAATTACAATATTAAGGTTTCATTTTATATTACTTTTAATATTATTATTCGTTCTTTGCGTTGCGAATGGAGCGTAGGACTACAGCAGCACATTTGCCGTCACTTCCATGTTACCACACATCTGCCCATAATCTTTCATTTCCTACTTACATTATATCCTGCATATCACCCTCGGATACCCGACTTGTTGGTTCCTGTTCGGGTTTCAGTTGAGTGTCTGATATGTCATGTCACTTAAATATCTCTTCGGTATATGTCCAATCCATCTCCATCTCCTTCCGCATATTTGTTGAGTAACTGGTTGTTGGTTGGTTCGTTGCTAAAAATTATTTCGCTTGTTCATTCTGGACGACCACCTGATCTTCATTGTGGAACGAAGGTGGCAGCTGTTGATGAAAGTCAGCAGCAGCTTGTTGGAAATTCTTTTTGGACGGCCTAATTCTCTGAATTATAAAGAAGCGCTGACTTGACTGTAGTGTTAAGAATTTGGATATTGTTTGTTGTGTTCAGTGTTGCAAATCTCCCCATTGATTTCAGAATGGTGAATGTCTGTCTTTCTTTCCCTATCTTATCTTTGACGTCTTCACCCATGCTTCAAGCAGTTGAGATGAAACTTGTGTAATTTAATTTTAGTTGGTTTTATCTGAACCTTAAGTATTAGGTATAAAAGACAAGTCATTTGTTGAGGGTGTATGTCAGTTCTCGTCATCTGATTGGTATGCGAAATTTTTACTCCTGTCTAGTACAACATAACACCACTACTTGAGGTTTCTGACTGATAGTGGAAGTTTTGTAGGTGTAAGCATGACTTGTCTGGTTGGAATCACCAAGGTAATAAAAACTACTGGCTATAAACTCTTGCTAACATTGCGGAAAATCATCCTCATTGCTGCAAATGCATAAACTCTTCATAGTGTCCAGAATTCTGAATAGACTTTCTAGTTGAATTCATGTAATTATTTCCTCTTTTGTTTTATTCTTGTTTACCTATTACTAGATTATTTCTGTTCCTGTTAACTTATTTTTCTTCTTTTAAAGTATTAGACCTTATTTACTTACCTGGAAGAGATTTCTCTTGTAATAGACTAATAGTCACACTCATTATTTAAAGGATAATGATATTACCCAGTTGCTTGGACTGAAGGAGATGTTTTAAACTGTAGCAAGTGGAACTGTGGATGCATTACTATCACTACTGCTAATAATAAGAGTAATAATACAAGCTCTTATCCGTAAACGAAATTAGGCTACTTTTATGTTTTTTATCCTACAATGAGTTATAGGATTCATATTTGAATAAACCTGTCTTCATTTTTTACCATGAATTTATTTTCAAGAAGTAGAATAATTCTGCATCACTTAAAATTAATGGAGCGAGCTTAGGCTGTACAGTTGAGTGGTTGGAGGTTTGAATTGGCATCATGTAGCCAGTAATACCAGCCTGAAAGGGATATATATATATATATATATATATATATATATATATATATATATATATATATGAAGGAAATAACAGGCTTTTAGGAAGCTTACGCGGTAATAATTGGTAGTACTAAGTTGTACAACATTTAGAGTGTAGAAAGTTATTTGTAAGTGTCATGGGGAATTTCGGTTTGAGCCTTTACACATTCATGTGGGTCTTCATGCTAATACACATCTAACTGTTGTATATATCACGTCTTTGTCACCATAATATCTTGAAAATAACTTCGTGATGAAATCAATACAAATCGCTATATTCTCCCAGTTTGTATAACATGAGAAGACAAAGTCGCTTGTCAGTAACAACTAAAACCTGATTCATGTCTCAGTGTAGCTGTTGTGTATGCCATCACATAAGAGGCTTTCTGTATAGAACATGTAGTAATACACTTCAACTAAATGAATTGTTATCTCCGACTCTCAAGTCGTATGACAGTAAAGGAAAGTTCGATATGCAACTTCAAAATAGGGTTGTGTAAAGGTAACATAAGGTCGATTCTTAGAAATAACTCTTTAAAACTATGTAAATTTATATAGGTAAATAGGCTTTATTTACTGTCGTACTTCCAATTGGTTTAACAACACATTATGCTAAGTGTGTTATTAATTTTCACTTTCACATTAAGATATTTGATAGATTTTCTGTTGCCCGTTTTTTAAAATGTAGCACTTCTGTTGTTTGAACCCAGTTAACCGAAACAGATTTTTCAAGTACCACACACATTGCCTCAAGTATCTCAGCACGGATCCGAAAAGCTCGAGCTGCTTTCGCTGACTTACACCATCTCTGGCGTAGGCGTGACATCCGGTTATCAACCAAGGGACGTGTGTACTGCTCATCAGTTCGCTCCGTCCTTCTCTATGGCTCTGAAACATGGCCAATACGCGTTGAAGACATGAAAAGGTCAACTGCTTTCGATCATAGATGTCTGCGATCCCTGTCTCACGTTAGGTGGTTTCACAAGATAAGTAATGTTGACGTTAGGCGTAGAGTGTTGGGCAAAGAGGGAAAATCAATCGACGAGGCTATAAAGTTACATAGACTAAGATGGCTAGGTCACGTGCTGCGCATGCCTAACCACCGCCTCCCCCGACGGGCATTGCTAGCTGACATAGGTTCAGGTTGGAAAAGAGCCAGTGGTGGCCAAACAAAAACATGGCATCAATCCATGAAATCCTTGACAGTTAAACTGAGTCAGGTAGGGAGATGCAGACTCGCGGGTTGGGGCCCTCGGGACTCTAGGAATCAATGGCTAGAGACAATAGGTGACATGGCTCAAAATCGTTGTCAATGGCCAGCGCAGATGTATTCAATCTCTGTAATCTTTCATATTCCTTCCTACCATTACCCATTCTGTTTCACTCTTATACTTGTCAGACTGTATTGATTCTCTCCACTCATCTTCTTGTCTACCTCTGTGTGCTATTTGGAACGTGGCAACTCGAACTGCTGCACTTCGGTGCCAAGTTCTATGTTGAATCCAGACAGATAGAGTTAGGTGAGAAAAGAGTTGGGTGGACGGTGGGGGTGGGCTGAATCCAAAACCTGACATCAGTTCATGAAGTTATTGACTGTGTTGGTTTTAATCACAGAGTAAGTTGTTGGCTGGCTGAACTGAGGTTGTTGATGACATCGTTCTCAGCAGCTCAGATGCATTCACTCTTTGTAATCTGTCATATCCATGTTACCACTCTTTCTCGCACGCCTTTTTGTTTATCATAATTCTTCTGAATCTCTTTTTTCTTTCTCCAACTGTGTGTTACATAGAATGTGGCTAATTGAAGTATTACACTTTTATGGAAGTTTCTATGTTGAAACTTAATCAGTCGCCCAGGCTAAAGTAGGTGAAGGCGGACGTAAACCCGCAATTAGTTAGTTGTTAGTCACGAATGTAACACTCCTGGAATCCCTCAGTTTACATCCACTTGTTTGGTTTTTTATTTTTCAAAATTTTTATTCCTTTACGTCCCCAGTGGAACATAGGGAAACTTTAAGCTAGAGGCTTGAAATTTCAGTAACAGTGGTGTTTATTTTTACGGGATAGGGTTGCTAGCTTCATGCCCAACCTTCCCTACTTACCAGTCTTTTTACTGCTTTAGAGAGGTAAAGGAGTGGGTCGGTGGCCGGAGACCGAATCCCGGACCACATGTGGTTGGAGAGTATTTTACCACTGTACCATTGACGCCACTCTCTTGTTTGTTCGTGTAGCTCACGTGGTTAGAAGCATTATCTGGATGTGACAGTAAAATAAATATTACGTTGAGAAGATGGATAAGAGATGTGATTACCTATGATATTATGAATTAATTGTTTCATATTTTTTTAAATTCAAGCTAATCGATACACTGAAACATGGTGTTTTCGTTTTATGTATACAGTCAGAGAGACATTTTGAATAAAACTAGCTGCCGACATTCACTTATATATATAATATGATTATTCTGTTGTCTTTCTAGACGACGACATCATTTCGATGACGTCATGGAAATAAAAGAAAGAAATCAGTTTAGCTCTTGTCTCATTTTTATTGAAAGTGAAGTTTGATGTGAAGTGGTGTTACTTGTTGATATTTCAAATCACTCAACTATATCACAGGTGAAAGTACTACACAAGTTAGGCTAACTCGGTAAACATAGTTGAAAGCAGTATTTAAGTTTAAAGACTACTTCAATAGTTAATTTTCTTTCGTTACATGATCAGTTTCACTTTGTTTCTCACTTCACTTGTCGTTGGCCCTCCATGCAACCATTCATTAATCTACTTTTACTTACTATAGGACTGATCAACATTTAAGAATACTATGCATGATGACAATGTAATGGTTATGTTTGTGTTTATGCGGTATTAAGATTGAATGTAGATGTTTCTAATTGTTCATCCAGCTGTGTTGAATGTAGTTCAACTTACTTAGACCTAGCATTCTTGTTTAGGGATTAATTACCTACTTTACTCCATCGGTGATTGATGACATCTTGTTGGCAACTTGATTATTTTCGGAATTTTTCTCCAATTTAGTGAACACAAACAAGGTGTTTGTGAGTGTATGTGTGCGTATAAAGATGTGGCTTATTGACTTAAAAACATCCGACTGGATTTGAATTCTGCTTTACCCACTTCACCATGATTATGCCCGACCGATAGCTGCTACCTTGACGTGGCGATCGGGCTTACACATCGCGATGACCCAACAAACTGCACTGGTTGGAACCAATGTGCCTGCAGGTCCTACCATGCTAGGAAGGTTGTTAGGATAGCGATTAGACTAAAAGCAGTTACCGTCATCGTGTAAGAATCTTTCTTACACTATGCTGGGGGTCTGAGGGCGAAGTTGTACTGCTGGGGAACAGGGGTGTAACAACAATGAGGTGTTTCCCTCAGATGACCAGTATGCCAGCCAGCTATGCTGTTTCTCCACTCTGGAGAGAGGGGTTAGAAAAGGTCGACCCCAAAAATTGTACATCCCGACTTACCTTACGGTGGTCCGTAACCGGCGGTAAGTTTACTAATACGGAACCAAAGCAACAAACCAGTTCATACAGACAGTGTGTGACCGGCCTGAAGCAGTTGTCCCCTGGGCTCCGCGGTCACGCAACACTAACCCTCTTTCTGTTCCAGGTACCCGAAGAATCAATCAACTTTCACGGTGTGGGCAGCCGTCCACACACTTCCAGATAGCATGATTATCAATGAGTATATCTCATATCCTATTATATTAAAAAGTTTGTCCTAAATAGCTGAGTTTGCGTCGGTGCCGCAATTGTAGGATTCTTGCCAACCCTGCACGAGCTCCGGGTTCGATTGTCAACCGACATTGCCCTAAACCTAGATTAACCGATAGAAGGCCCCGTAAAGAGGAAAGGTTGGGTATGAGTCTAGTAACCTTACTCAGTAAAAGTAACACCGGTGCTACTGAAACGTCAAGGGTCAAGATCGAAGCCCTATGTGTCCACCCTAGAGGCAAAAGAATGAATAAGAAATAATTGAGTTTAAAGTAACTTGTAACTTTTTGAAAAGAAAACTGTTTTCAATGAGCTATTCACGGTTTATTTTTTCCAACATTCAATGTTCAAACCTATTCTTTTGATCATAAAATCTTAATGATCAGTGAATCAGTATGTCAGTATTTATCAAATTATCTGATATTCTTTCTTTATTATCTTTCTCCTTCTGAACAGAAACTAAAGCACAATTAGAAGAACTTAATGAAAATATTAAAAAATCAGCTAGTCAAGTTTGTGTTAAACTCAAAGGTGAGTATTCATTTTTTTTACTTGTTGTATTGATTATATTTTGGATGCTTTCACTTTGATTGATTGTTTATTAATTTTTTTCTTCAAGCAATATTGTTCACTACATACAACACATTTTTTTTTCTAGTTAGGCAGTTGTGTACTAACAGGTTCATGTGTAGGTGTGATTGTGTACTTCAAACTATTGTGTGATCTCATGGTATGAACAATTGGTGGCAGTTTCATTGTCTATCTCGATACTTTTATGCCCAACAACGTAAAAAAAAAAAAAAAAAAAAAAAAAAAATATCCTAACAATTAAATGAATTGAAGTTTTTGATTTTGTAAGCATTTGGCTTCATTTGAATGTCGATTTCATCACGAAACCAAGGATGTTTTTAGATTTATTAGTTGATGGTGTCGGTGTTTCGTGAATTGGAAGAAACTCTGAAACTATGAGTCCATCTCAATTTCTGAATGGTCAGTGGGATAATGTCGTTACCTTAAGATCCTAGAGTCTCATCCATTAACTGCTGGCATTAACTGTAATGAATTGGTCTCTCAGGAAATAATAACATGCGCACATTTATGGTAAGACTGGCAGTCATTCATTCGTCAAACTAAAGTAGATCTGACACCGACAAGATATCCATGTGTGTGTGTGTGTTTGTTGATTGGCACATGTGCTACGAAGCATTTCACTTTATCGTCCCGTCTAGCTGTTAAAAGTTTAAAATATCAGAAAGCTACAAGTTTTCAGTTGCTTTCGTGTATGTGTGTGTTGGGGTTAAATGTGAAGTGTTTCATTAGTAAAACTAGTCAGCTGATGAAGTCGTGTGAGTTCTCATTAACTGTAAAGGGGTATTCATGCATACGAAGTGCCTACCTTTCTTCAGTGATCAGTGTTATCTGAAGTTGGATTAGGTTAGAATAAGACAGCACTGACTCATAAATTCTTTGACTATTAATTTCAGTCACCTTAAGTCTTCGAAATATCAAGAATGAATGATGAGGGATTCTCATGTAACCCGATGTTCCAGCTATTTTCAATACTTCCTCATCTTTTTAAGATTTGAACACCCTTATTAGTAACAGCCCTTTAATTATTTTCTCCCGTTTCTGACATTCTAGTCGGTGCATCTGAGTATTCTATATTTGTTTTTCTTCAATATATACTACTGTTTCAAAATGGTCTCATTTGATCTAATAATACACTTCACTGCGAGTTCCTGCTACAATGATCTCTCTGTGTGTCCTTCTTGTTACACATTTCAATCATTTTTGAGTGAATTCATTCAGTACCGTGCTGCTGGGTGTACACTGTCCCATTGTATTCGCCTTCTTAGAAAACACTTCTTTTAGCCTTAGAATGAGCAACCGTATCATGCATTCATGAAAATTATCCACCAAGACGTTAAAGAGAAAAAGTAGAGGTTGAGCAGAAATATCTTTCCAGTGACTTCATTTGCAACAACTGTACCATCTTAATCTACATCCACAACTTAGCAGAGCAATGAGACAGAGTTATATATATATATATATATATATATATATATATATATATATATATATATATATATATATATACATATAACTAAAGGATGACAGTCAGTTCTTGTAAAACATAATTTAAATCAAAATCATAATGACAAATCATAAAAGTGTCGTCGACGCACCCCTTGTACTTCAGTAATCTGCTGACTATTGTTTCTAAGATTTCATTTTTTGAACCAGATGCGTGAAGCAGTTGGCTGAAAGCAGACCATGGCAATTCCATCTTTTTGTTTATAGACATCGTTGTTGAATATAAATTGTTCATTGAATGTACATCTCATTAACAACTCCTAAATATGAGGTTGGTATCCCGGTACTTAAGCGGTTGATATCCATATAATTAGCACTGGGAACTGACTGTTTTTATGAGCGACACTTTGGTACATACAGACTCTACGTCTAAGTTACATTCAAATCTTTTATGCAGTCACTGAATTCAAAGTCTCTTCAAGAGAGTACTTACAAAATTGTCTCCTTACAGGCTCTAAACTTTTGAGAAGCCACTTAGAAATTTGATGGGAGGGTGGCTCTAACATATCGGGAATTGATTAAATTAGTAGACTGGGTTGGTGTACTTTTAACTGACTGCTAATTTGAGGAAGAATTAATCCTGTCTGTCTTAGACTTTTTCTAAATTCCTGTGAATTTTCGTGAGCATCTGCTAAAGTATCACGAACTATAAATACCCAGTCATCGATACTTTCGCTAAACTCCTGTCGATCAATAGTATTTCCACAGACACAGAACTTATTTCTCTCAAATTAAACAATAATGGTTTGATCACGGCCTAACATCAATTAAAAAACCACTGGAAAACCAGGGAGTACTGGATAGCTGTTTCGTCATGGTTTGGGACTCCTCTTCAATATTCACCTGTCGGCATTTGAATCCATGATCTTCAGGTTGAAAAGTAACTTCCTTGACCACTCAGCCACTGGGACCGGATCCAATGGGCCATGAATTCTAATTTCTGCCACTTCACCATATTATATAGTGCAACCACCAGTCAATATCACCGGTTAAATGGGATCTGTAACCGAAATGTCATGGATTCGAAACCCAGCAGGATGCGTACTGATGAACACTCACAAACTAAGACGAAACAGCTCTCCAGTATTCCGTGCTAGTTTCCCTATGGTTCTCTCACTGATATCACCTCGTGATAACACCTGTGACTAGTCGGATCCCTGCAAGCCAACACTTGTAAACATTAACAACCTGCTGGTGATTTCATTTGCCGTTTTATCGGGTGTCCTGATTGGTTGTTGCAAGATCATATTATTATCGTTAGTTAATGGTGTTAGTTTAAAAGGACTCTTATTAATAAAGAAAAAAATCGAATTATGAATGGTATCGTGAATGAGATTGTTGGAAATAATATATTTCAAAGTTTTCCTTATATTTAGAAAAAGAATATATACTTTTATCTAAAATTAGTAATGTGGGCGGTACTATTACTCCTAAGTGTAAGCCTAAAAATAGGATAATGAAATTCTTTATGTGATATTGTAGGCGGTTTGGATTGACTTTCGAATTTATTGACGTGATGTTCATAGCATATATATATATTCATACAACGCACTATAGACCATATGATGGCAGAGCTAGTTTTCACTACATTGTTGTTTCTCTCTCTCTGAATTGACATTCTCGAGTGTGTTCAATTTAGCTGCAAGGAATATTCTTATTCATTGAAAAATAAATTGAATTTTTTGTATGTATTGGAGGTTATTTATAATTAATAATGAGTCATAACGTTTGTGGAGCTTTGACTCATCATTTAGTTTAAGCACTGAACTTCCAATTACTTGATCCATGAGCTTTAACAGTGCTCTGGTAACTTTTAGATTTTGACAGGTAATTAAGTAACATAAACCTCTTGGACAATAGGCGTGACTCATTGTCTATTGTAGGGAAATTCAACTGATTGTTGAGTAACAATACACAGTTACGTTTGTAAATAGACCAACTAAAATTATGAATAATAAAATGGTATACTTGACATTACTGATAGCGTTCTGAAAATTGTTTACATAATGGAAGGATGCTTTTATTACTATTGTTATTATTATTATTATTATAATTTGTTCCTTGCATTCCAAGTGAAACATGATGGGTCCCAGTAACACACCTCATTGCACTCGGTTCTCTAAAATCACTTTCATCTATCTCTAAGACTGCCTATAAGCCTTTATTTTCTATTTATATGATTTCCATTTCACTCTTGGACAGCTGACTCGTCGCTTCCCATTGATTTTTTTCGAAGACCTGGTGTGTGTATGATGTCACCCAATGTTCAGCAGTAAAAAGGCTCTTACTGTTTCCTCTTTTTTCTGATTGGCCATTTTGATATTCAATGTTGATAGTGGAGGCAGCCGTCGATGAAAGTTTGCAACAACCAGTTGAAAATACTTTCCAAGTTTCTAAACTACAAAGAATCACTGGTCTGTCATTAGTTCTTTACTCTAAGTGCTGTAGTTCTCCACACCGATTTCAAAAGTAATAAGTGCCTGCCTCGCGTACGTTGAAGTAGACGCGGAGATGTCTGAACTTGGTCCTCGTTAGCTGGAATTTATTATTGTGCGTCGGTGGCACAGTGGTTAGGACTCTCGCCGACCATGCAAATGGTCCGGGGTTCGAGCCCGCACCGACGCACATCTGATATCTATGGTCGGCCTGCAAAATTTGGGCTACCGATATCCATGCTGAAAATTCCATACTTGTACCGAAAATATAGTGTGGAATCAAGCTGTAAATCAAAAATAAAAAAATTATCAGTTTTAGCTTTAGATATTGATTAAGGAAAGATAAAAAGGGGCATCATTTTAATTCTCACCCGCTAGGAAGAAAACACTGGTTATGTACTTTATGGATTACTCTTAGTATCTTAACTTTCACCACCTAAGTGTCTCTGATATACGTAAAGCTGTATAAATTTGACGAGTTCCCAAAAAACAAGGCGTGTCTTAGGCACTGTCGAATGTAGGATTATACTTGCAGGATTGGAATACATTGAATCCTACCTTAAAGATATGCAGGAGGGAAGTTTTAGAGCGTGTTGGCCACTTCACCTATATAGGAAATCGCATCAACCTTAAGGGCAGATTGCTGATTAAAACCTCACCACAGATACATAAAGGTTAGTGTGACATTTGCCAACTTAAGTCGTCTTTGGTGTAGATGCGATATCCGACTATCGATCAAAGGACGTGGGTTCTGCGTAGTAATTCACTCCGTCTTCTTTCATTGCTGAGAAGTGTCCGTTGAAAGTAGGAGATATGAAAAAGCTAGTTGTCTTTGACCGCATATGTTTACGTTTTGTCTCTCGTGTCAAGTGGTATAATAATATGGTGAGTAATATAGAAATTAGACGTATTGTTGTGTGAGGTGGGAAAGTCAACCGATTCAGTTGTGAAACTATATCTCTTGTGATGGCTAGGACACGTGTTGTTCATGTCGAGCCATCG